AGGAGACATGTTGAACAGCGCTCAGCAAGCTGACACCAAGACTGTCTCCTGACATGGCCTGTCTGTCAGTTTACTTTACGCCCCACCGGTGACGCAGACACTCTCCATTGTGCATCAATTAAGTGACATCGAAGGGAGGCAGCCATGTGTCACTTCATTGTCTTATTCAGGGATTTGCCCCCTGAGCATGTGTTTAATTTCACATGATCACACATGTTTTTGGCCTGACATATTTGCCAGTGAGTCCACAAATTTCAGGAGATTTTTTTTGTGCATGTGAATGTTGGTTTGAGACTGTTTGATGATGAAATAAAGGTGATCAAACCCACACATAAAACCCACATCAGCTCTGAGGAGGAAGAAAAACCAACTGCACCAGAGACAAATGTAAAAGCAACTGCATCCAATGAGTGATGCAACAAATAAAACCTCCATGACACTCTGAGCACATGACACTTATGGCATTAAGTGCTCAATATTTCAAGCATGTAGATATTTTAGGTTGAGCCACTAGTCATCACACCAAGCTTGAGTGATGCATGACTTATGATACATGCAGGCAGGCGTCACAACAGCATGACGCCCCATAGGAAGACTTGCTTGACAGCAACAGTCAATTGATGTGTTCTAAAATGGGAGATGAAACAAACAACAGACTTTGCTTGGGTGTGTGTTTGTGTGCCTCTCCTCCAGCCTCAATCCATGGCCTATCCATGCAAATGTTCTACCATCTGTAAAAAGGTGATTCATTTTACTTATATTTTTCCAAAATAAATTGTTTGTCCACACCCTTTAGAGCATCACAGAGACACGTTTTTGACATAATTTCTTAGTGCCTGCTAAAACATTACAAATTACTGTTGAAAAAAATGATAAATAAATATTCCACTCATTTTGTACAATATGATTGGCAGATTCTTAAAACAGTGCCATGTTATGCCACAATTTTGATTTTCTACTTTACAATTTTAACTTTTGAGGTTGAAATTTTTTTAATGACCAACGTTTTCATTTCTCCCCATTTTTCTGGCATAAATGGGCTTCCATATATATGCTACCAGTTTGTTTTCTGTCCAACAGACAAAATATGAGCCCTGAGAAGTTGTTGATGAGCTGGTTTTAAACATGAGGTTCCAGCTGACTGAAAGAAACTGACAATGTGTCAGTCGTGCTTGCTCTGTCCTGTCAGCATTACTATCAAACAAAACGCACCCTTAGAGGAGTCCCCCGGATATCCAGCCAGCAGTGTTCGATAATGCACATCTAGCTGCTCGGTAGGTGGAAAATATCACCCGCGGGCGTCAGAAATGTGAGTGTGCATGTGTGTGTGTGTGGGTGAATGTGTGACTTCGACAGTCCCATTTCTGTCATTAATGTCACATCAGTCAGGACACACAGTGTGCCGCTGCGTTCTCCAAGCTGGAATACATTAACACCTCAGTTTATCAAGTCATCCTGCATCCTAAGGGGGTGGAGTGGGGATGCGATTAAACTGTACAACACTTGTACTTGTTTTTGTGATGGTTTATGATGGTCTCTAAATAATGTAATCCCACAAAAGAACAACTATTCTTACACTATCAGGACTTATGCATGTAAATTCTATTAAACAGTGGCTCATTGAGAGCCATAATCCACATTTTCACATAAATTAGTGTCTATTTTGATGCTTTGTGATTGAAATTATACCGTGTATTACTGTTTCAACTAATTAAGTGTTTACATTTACTATTCCAAACACCCTTGTAGTGAAATAATCCTCTGGCGCAGATAGTGGCACATTTTCTCAGCTCAGGTTGTTTGTAATGGATAGAAGAAAAACTTGATAGTCTGTACACACAGGGAAAGCCATTAGTGCTGTGCAGAAAAGGCAGGACAAAACAGAACTGAAGATTCTCGATAAGACATGACAGCAATTAGCGCAAAGTGAAAATATCTCACCAAATACAAAATCCAGATTGCTGTTTGAACAGAACAATTTTTTCCTGTCTTCACTCTGAGTCATATATTTTCTTGTCTGTGCACACAGCTGCCCTCGCAGCTTCAGAGGCAGCCCTGATGTAGCGATGCCCTTTCTTTGTTTGACAGCGCTGAAAAGGCTGCTGTCTGCCCGAGTAACATCAGCCTTTGTGGGCAGTGTGTTGAACAGTGTGAGTACAAGTAGTCCCTCCAACCACAGAGGATCTACAACCAGCAGGGTGTGTTGCACAGTGGAGCTGAAGTGCTTACTGAGTTTTTGTGCTGGATGGTGCTTTTATAATAACAACAAATAAATCACTGCATGAAAACAAAAGGTAGCTTTGGTAAGAGTACAGAAATGCTTAATTCCTTGCATGTATTCCACCCACTGTTCACCAATGATAACTAAGCTGATAAATATAAATGAAAGTCAGAATTTCTTGTAAGTCACACCTCTTTTTACATCAGAGAAAGTAGAAGCTGAAAAGGAGGAGACTTGTCCATTGCAAAACAGTTGACACAATGTGCAGAACAGACCACTCAACCCACATGTAGGTTGATGTTCTCCTTGGTACACTGCAAGCTTAATTTGCAGTCTTCAAAATGTACTCCTAAGGGGTAGGATTAATTTCAGTTTTCTCCTCCAGAGGAGGGAAGAAACACCTCCCTCTCTTCTCTTCAGAGGATCCCCCAGCTCTGATAATTGCCACAAGCAGTAACCATTTAAATAAAACATAGACTGTGGTGATGTCAGACAAATGAGTGGCCAAAAGTCTGAAGGGAGGATGGCTAGATCCAGTAGGGATCAGTGTTTCTTTCTTAAAGTGAAAAGGCCAAAGACAACACAAGATGAATGTCAGTTTTCCAACCTTTATGAAGGGGCAGGAGGAAACTGCTGCGTCAGAGTACTCCTGCCGCCCGTTGGGTTTGACAGTATTTGTGAAGCAAAACCGAGGGGGAGCTGCTGTTTATTCTATACAGTCAGTGATCTATACAGTGATTGCTTGTGTTTATTAATAACAAGACTCCGAGTATCAAGCTGTGCTAGCAGCTCTGTGTACACAGGCACAGCAGTGCTTTGAGCTAATGCTAATCTCAGCATGTTAACATGCTGAGATTTAGCATATGTCCAGCATTTTAGTGTCAGCATACTAACATTTCCAATTAGCACTAAACACAAAGTACAGCTGATGTAATTTGTTTTGCAGGTAGTAGAGAAATAGAAAATTTGATGTATCACCAAAGTTACATTTATCTGACGCTTTTATCCAAAGCAACTTACAATTTCTATACATGTCAGAGGTTGCACACCTCTGGAGCAACTAGGGGTTAACTAGGGGTGTCTTGCTCAGGGACACATGGTGGATGTCTTACAGTGGGAATTGAACCCAGGTCTCCTACACCAAAGGCAAGCATCTTATCTATGCACCATCACCACCCCCAAGAATTCTAATTGATGTGTGTACAATATTTCATAGCAATCCTTCCAATAGTTGTCACTTAAAACCACAACCTCATAGTGGTAAAAGAGGAAACATTTAGGTTCTACCAAAGTTATGATTCATCCTCTGGGCACCATGAATGTTGGCACAGCATTTCAAGCTAATCCATATAATAGTTCTTGAGATATTTCAGTCTTGACAAAAGTGGTAGACAGACTTGACAGTCAGCAAGGCTAAAGAGTGAAAAGAAAAAAAACATCAAGGTTAATCTCACCGTGTACATATTTCTTGTTAATTTCAAAGAAAAATTTAAATTCACAGCATCTTCAGTGCACTCATTTTCACATAGTACACATATTTCACCTTCAAAAAAATTGCATTCCCTCTCCCTGTTTATGTCTGAGCACTCTCGCTTTCAATCTCTTCACATTCTCGAGCCAGCCAACATGTCAGGGAGAAAGCTTGAGTGTTAATTGGAAGCTCTCCCACGGGAACTCGTAGGCGTCTTCCTTGTCCTCTGTGTTCATCGCCTAATGTGATTGCCACGGTTCTCTCGGATTCATAGCTGCTCCTGTATAATGAACATACTTAATATTCTTTTCAGACTCTTCTGACCTGTTGTGCATGAATAATACTTATGCGTTAAGAAACTTAAACCCCAGCTGACACAACTGCATTTTTTGTAGTGCACCAAACAGTGGTATGTTTTTTTTTGTGATGGTGGCTCTGCTGCAAGGTCAAATGAAACAAGCTTTTATACATACCCTCTGACACTGCTCTGCCCAGGTTAAAAAGAAGTGCTCTTAAAGGCACTGAAAATATACTTGAAATTCACATAGTATGCTTATAGTACATTCATACTTCTAACATGCTTATTACAAGTATATTAAAGATATATTCTCCTGAGCTTTAACATACTTCTCAAAAGTATACTTTGAATAAATTGGTAATAAATATATACTTAATTAAACTTTTAATAAATATGCTTAAATAAAAGTACATATTTAAAATGTTTTAGTCTATTTATTAAAATATATTTATTTAACTCTTAGTAAATACTATTTAGGTGTACTTTGTGGAAGTACATTGTTAAACAATTACACTTTTAGTGGGTTAAAAATATATTTATGCCAAACATGCTTCATTGTGTAGGCTACTGCAAAATATTGTAATTATTTATGTAATTGCCTGATTTCTAGAAGTATGATTTTTAAAACATATTTTTCTTACATTAAATATATTTTTCAAAAGCATATTATTTCTTTTTTTCATTTCTTTTCTTTCTTTTAATTTTTTAAAAATCATTTAAATATCTAGTTGAGATCAGAGACCTCTTTCATAAGGGTAACCTAGCCCAGAAGGAAGCAGTACTTGTTGTTAACTTAACAAACAACAACATATAGAAATAAGCATACCTTAAATCATAATGTAGTTATACTTGTTTCTGTTTGGAAACAGTAAACACATGTGTACACAGGGAGTGTGTGCCCTCCCGCCCAGCCCACCAGCGCAGTGCTTTCAGTTTGACCAATCAGAATCAAGGTTTTCAAATCGACGACCCAATCACACAGCGTGAAAGTCCGCTTCACGAAAGTTAACGTGTTTACTGTCGTTGAGAGAGGGAAGCGATTTCTGGCCAGAAATCATTTTGTTTTTCAGGTTTCCTTTGTTTTACATTACCGACTCGGACACCACAGACATAATAAGAAAAGAACACAGAAGAGAACAATATCCGGTCAGCTCCCTGCAGAAGTTAAATGTGAAAAGAGCTAAAGAGGCGTGACTGGCAAGTTACAAGCAGGAGAGGACAGACGCAGAGACTGCCAGCAAAAACCGTCTTTCTTGGTAAGTTTATTATTGTTAGCGAGACAACACAATTGTGTAAGTTAACTAAAGTTGAGCTCTCTCTGCGTTTGAAAATATTTTACTTGGTGGATAGCTCTGGTGTGCATTAGCTAATGCTAGCACGTGGATTAATATATTTATTAGCTAACGTTAGGTAACGTTAGCATTTTAATAGGTTCATAATCACTACGTCTGCCTTAAACAGTGTTGGGAGTAACGCGTTACAAAAGTAACGCAATTTTTCGTTACAGTAATGTATTTCTTTTTGCTGTAAGGCAGTTTTTAATGTTACTAAAATTTCGGTAATGTAAAATCTTAGTAACCCTGTTGCTGGAATTTGATGCATGAGATGTTAACAAGTGTGCACGTGTGGGTATGAGCCCTCAATTTTGCTTTGGCACTGTTAAAACGACCAGTGAGGTCTTTATCAGAGTAATAAATGCAACTAATATGTTGCTGTCTGTGTGCTCAAGGGTCACATTTTTATAGTCTACCTTAATACTCACATGTCCATGTTTACAGTAAGTTATTGGTCACTGTAATCATTATTATTCCTGCCCATATAGTCTGGAAAGACATCACCACAGTTGTCATTTTTGTATAAATTAATTCTAAAGTTTAGCTGAAGCTACTATGAATCATCAGCTAAGCATCTGCATTAGACTAGTCAAAAGTGGATATCTTTTAAAGGTACACTGTTTTTTAGAGATTTCTCCTCTCTGCAACCATGGAGGGGGTAATCATTACAGTGACCAATAACTCAGTTATAACAGCAATGTTAAAGTGTACAAGCCTATGTGAGAATTGTTTTAAGACACGCTTGAAATAATGTTTTTGTGTACTGCAATGGCTGACCACACAATATAATAGCATGTGATGTTTTATAAAATACTGCTCAACTTTATGTCCATTTGTATGGTCAGCTTTTAAAAGTTGAACCTACCATTTGCCAACTTTAAACAACTTAATGCTAAACCCAGAGTTGGAATTTCCTGCCTTAGCTCAAGAAAAGAAAAAGAATAATAATAAAGATTTGCTATAAGAATAGAATTACAGTGTTTATAATGATACGCAAATGAAGAACTAAATTAGGTGGAAGTACTGGCCTAACTGAATATTATTATTACTCATTTGCAACTGCATTTCTTTTCTATTAGGGGTTCCTGGGATCGTTGCCTCACTCAGAGGGCTGGACCAGCTGGACCCTCACAAGCTCGAGGTGCTCATAGGTATGTCTGGCTCCTGCACACCATCACTGTTTTTGCTCTCACTACATGTCAACGGGGTCAGACTAAATAAACAAATATTCAGTGAAAAAATAATTATATTAAAAATATTGTTATACATTAAGTAATTGGCTACTTTTGTACTTCACAATCTGACTGCTGTGTTAATGTGAAATGACATATAGACATAACAGTTGTTAAGCAAGTCTGAATGTTTGTGTTATTTGTTGTTTAATAACATTTTATCACATCCAGCTCATTGGCTGAATGTACAGTAGTGTTTATGTAATGTTTGTGATCATGTTGTAATGGAAGAACTGGGCATTAACTGGGAGGGGTCCCTTGTGGAAAACCATTTCACCTGAACCTAAAAAGTTTGCATTATCAGAACAGTTAGACATGATGTCATATTGTGTTTCAGCAACTTTAAACAAAATAAAACATCTGACAATGGTAGTTAGTTAATTAGAGGTAATATTGCTTTGATATAGACAAAATATTTCCTTTTCCCTTCCACAGATGCTGTGTGATAAAGCAGTTTCCAAATCCCATAGTGAGTCCTACTCAAAGATAACCGACCCTCCACTCCAAGGATAAGGATTGTGACCAGTTTCAGTTTCAGTTTGGTTCCACCATTTGTACTGTATGCTTGTGACAGAGTACCTTCACTACAGCTGAGTAAGCGCTTGGACTGCCATACCAAGGAGCCTGACTCTTTGGCCTTGCTGTCAAAGTTGCATGTTTGTTACCCTGTAGACCTGTGTTTGAATCTGGGTAGGGTGACTGCTCTCAACTTTGTCCACATATGGTGTCAGAAGTGGGATGGCCTGCCGTGAGGTCATCTGAGCCATGCCTAGAGTCCGAACCGTATGAGGGACCCCCATGGGTAACATTAATGATGGGATATGTATAGTGTACTTTTCAGTAATACTGATCATATGTCATCATTTTACTGATTTTATTTTTATTTGAAGGTATTTTGGTCAAGATGTGATACATGTTGCTGTACCTTTTAATGTACAGGAAGTTATTTTTGTAATATACACAAAATTAAAGTTTTTTACTTGTATTTGTGTGTTTTTTACTGATTTTTGCATTTTGCAAGATATTTTAATGCATTAATAATGAATTATTCTCATACTGAATGGTTTCATAAAGCAGCTTCCCAAGATATTAATAGTGGCTCTTGGAGTATACTAGTAATTAATTACGAATGTGCTGAAATGCTAATAAAAATGTTCAGGGAACACATTTAAAATATATTTAAGCTGTTCTTCAAGTATATCACAAAAGGGTATTTTAAGTTAAATTTAAAAAAGTATATTTAAATTACAGTAAAGGTACTTAAAATAGGTCCACTTTAACACAACTAAGTATATTAAAATATATTGCAATCTTAAAGTTGACTTTAAGTATTTCTAAAATGACACTTAACATACTTTATGTTGTTCCAAAATAACACATTTAATATACAATTAGTATAGTACAATTAAAATATGATAAGTGCATCCAAAAAAAAGTGTTACTTAAGTATATTTCTGTTTTACTTGGGCATGATATAAAGGTTTTCAAAAAATCCTCTGGGATAATCTTATATTAAATAGTGGGCTAAATGAATGGTTACACATTTTGGTAAATTCACTTGTTCTTGCCAACAGTTAACTTACAGAAGATTGACTCAAACCATCCGCACAATAAATATGTACCTCGTTTAGCACAAGGCCTTGTTAGCTGGTCCCCCTGTTTCCAGCTGCCATTACCCAAAATAGTTAACTGAGTATCTAGGTGGTGATTATTGATAAAGCAGGAAGCCATACACATTCTTATTTTGATTGTTTATTTAAGTTGTGAAATATTTGATAACTTTCTTTGCTGTGAGTAGTTCCAGAGGAGGTTGAGGAAGCAGGGCGGTCTTGCCATCCTGCCTGTGTGAAAAGAAACCTCAATCATCAAGGTTCACAACAGTATTGAGTGATTCTACTCTATTCCAGTTACATATCAAATTAGCTCACACAGATAAAGCAAACAATTGAAGTGCTCACCTCTTCCTGGTTGTCTCCTCAGCAGGGTGCGGCAGCAAATTAGTGTCGTAGCCCCGAGCACCTGCTTAAGAGCTGGGGGGGTAAAGACATCAACAATGCTGATTTTATGTGATTATATAGAGCGTATGTGATTGATTTATTGAAAGAAATTTGTATTTATGTAAATATGTATTCTTTGTGCTCTATTTTGTCTATGGTGTTGGGTTTTAGGTATATATTTATTGTTCTAAATGATGGTGGTCCCACCTAAGTAGTTGTACCCACTTAATTACCTGCAGGAGGGAGTGAATATAAGTCAGCTAGTTTCAGTGTAAGTTTGTTGCTCATTGGTGTTGGTGTCTCATTGTGTCTGTATGGAAGGCAATAAATGCCACGTTTGTGCTTTGCATTTTACCTCTGTCTCATGTCTTTCTCTGGAAAAAACTTAAAGCCACCGCCGGGCCATCGGACACATGGCTTTCGGTAACAAAAAACAGATACGGATCAAACTATCTATAATATGTTAATTAATGAGTTTTAAAGGTGCTGCTTTGTAAATGTTGTTACCTTTTCACAGAGCCATGCTAACTTCCCCTGTTTCCAGTATTTCGCTAAGTTACATAAGGATGTCGATCTCATCTAAGTTTTAGGTTACTTTCTGGCAGAGAATAAGATGAGAATGTTGATGCCACTCAGTACATCAAGGAAGCGTTTTGGTAGCGCTGTCGCATTTTGGCCTGAAAACACTAATGGGACAGCAGCACAGAACCAAAAAATATTCATAGGCATTCATAGACAGTCATGCGGTCACAACAAATACTACTGTTTGATTATGTGCTCTCATTTTGGGTTGCAATCTTGTAAGTATTAACCTGAAAATACTGGATATCTACAGGGCAAGGCTGAACTGTTGATAATAAACAATGACATCCTGCGCCTCCTATTAAGTAATTATGGTGTTTTTCTTAATTTTGATGTGCTACCAAAGGACAATAATATACTAATGGACAAAGTTCAAAAAAACACTGGCCTTCAGAAGGCCAGCCACACTCCAGGGACGTATGATTTTTTTCATTGTATGATTTATAATAAGAACAAGTAGAGAAACGGGTCTACTCTTTGTTCATCCCACACTGCAGCAGCTAATAAGGGGCAGGCTGGAGTAGAAAATAAACTTACCTTTTTTCAAATAATACAGATCAAACAGACAATGTTTAATGTTAAATGAGGTACCCCAGAACCTAGTTATTTCCCCATTCTTTAAATTACTCAAGACAAATAAGCTATGCAAGCATTTATAAACAATCATGAGTGTTCTCCACTTGTTACCCTGTAGTTACACAGTAATATTAGGGGTGTGGCCTGTATTATTATTAAAATATCTACTGTTATCCCATATTCTATAATTACACAGTAACAACTCAATTTGCTGTTCTCCCATTCTTACTCTGTATTTAAACATAAACAAAAAGTCATGTAAGGTGGAAAATAAAAGCTTTTTATTCTATTGCTTACATTGAACTGTTCTTTATTTCTGAGTGACTATTATTTGTTCATTTGCTTTGTTTTGGGAGTATTTTCTTTGTTGCTCTCCTTCTTCTTCTTTTTGTCCTCATACTCTGACAAAGATGCAAGTGATGACCCCAAGACAGGAGCTACCACACTTTCTTATCTGCTTTTGGCCATACAGGAAAAATACAACACATAAATAATTGTAGCTGGTGAAGTGCCATAAAGTTAACTATAAATTGAATCCACTAACACACATAAAACATGGCTAAACAATAATAAATATTATTTCTTACTCAACACGAGCAGAAACAGAGCAGCGGATATTGCCTTAGAGAGAGCAACAAGCCAGCGGACTGCCGAGTCTCCTTCAGGTCAAAATGGTGGAGGTGTAGCTCTGCTGCTGTCCATTGAAAATCTTTTAAAAGTTTAAAAACAACTTATCACTGTTGTAAGGGGGCTCTGAGCAGTATCCAAGCAAGATGGTACCAGGACCTTACTGGTTGTGGCCATAACCCACTGTAAAAGAGAGAATTAATTTTTTGTACCAACGAAATTGGTGAGCTTGAGAGGTTCTGGCAGGCAGATTATGCTACTGTTTTACTGCTTGTTATTTATCATACAGATACAAGAGTGGTACCAGTCTTCTCTTCTCACTTTCAGCTGGAAAGTGAATAAGCACATGTTATTACTAATTAATCTAATCTAATAATCTATTCCTTTAAATGAACACGGTCAGTAATGGCAGATCCTGTTACTGTAATAATATACTGGCGAAAACAGGATTAATAAGACTGAGCTCACTTTAAGACGAAGCAGGTGTTTTGACCTGAATCTCATCGATCATGCTCCTCTGCTTGGCTCAGCGGTGTGATTTGTATTTGAGTGATTGTAACAGTTGAAAAATTGTATTAATTTCACTCCACAAAGATTTAATTTATCTTATAATATCCTGCTTGCTGCTTCTACCTTCCTCTCTTACCCAGAGGTCATATTTCAGAAGCTTGGAAGTGACATCTGTGCATGCATGATTTACACCAAACACTTGAAGTGAGATAATGTGCACCCATGAAATTGCTTTTTGTTTTACTAGATTTTGTGGAAGATGCTGTCACAAGAGGCTAATTTGTCTCATAAGAATCCTTCCATTTGATTTGATGTCATGTTTTGAGTGATATGGTGTTTCAACCTGAGAAACAGATCTAATTATTATCCTGTTGCTTAGTAAAATCATATGAATCAAAAGCATTTATCTGACAGACCACAGTTAGCATGGACATGGACTGAAATTTAGTTTTTACTTTACAAGCATGCTATAAATAACTTAATGTGATGCCCATATACACATTCAACCATTACCAAGAATTGAATTGGATATATGGATTTTGACTCCTACTGTGTAATTATAGGTGGTCAGAAAATGTGTCAGTATTATAATGGCTTTAAATTGTTAATAATGTTTTTTTCTGCAACAGATGACCTGTTTAACATGTAATAACGATGAATAAAATAATGATTTAAATACAAGTAACTTCAGCTGTACACATAAGCTCACTCAACAGCCATTTGATTACTGTCGTAGACTTGCTTTAAACAGACAATCATCTTACAGGATGTGAAGACACCTCACTACAGTGCACCGTTCACAGCCTGATTAACATGGGGAGCAGCAGTGTCAGATACAGAGCCTATTGTGAATAATGTTTCCTGCTTTTCTGTAATGACTATGATTATGCCTCCAAAAAATAAAACCAAGATAGCCAGGATTTTCCAGATATCCTGGCTGAATTAAGCCCTAATTTGGTTTCACGAAAGCAGTAGCACATAAGTTACCATGGCAATTTATTCTGTGCGGCTAGCCTGCTCCAGACCAGGCTAACAGCCAGGCTTAGTTAATCCTGGTCCCTTATCTGTTCAGTCAGCGGTCAATCCGATCAGAAACCAATGTGTTTTTTTCAGTTATTCCATGTTCTTATGTATGTGTTTTGAATATTATTCATTAGCCTGCATTGAAATAGCAGTTTGGGGTTATTAGGTTTCATAATTGGAGAAGATGCATGCACCATACTTTGCACACAACGAGCATCAGCAAGTAGGTTTACGTGGAATGAAAGCACATGTAAAGAAAAATGATGAATAAAACGGGCACAGCAATAAAACAGCGAAAGAAAGTGTGAAGTCCCACTTCAATAAGGAGGCTACATTGTGCACTGTTTATACATGAAACAACAGGGAGAGGACACCACAATGATGTTTTTCCTTTTTTTCTCTTCCTGGGATCACTCGTTTGCTGCGAGTGATTAATACATTGTGTTACAGTCGTGCTTACAGTGTGCTTTGCAATCTTTTTGTAGTTGCTGGATTTCCAATTTCCTCAGTAGGCCTCTTTGTATCTCCATATATAAG